TCACCCAAGAGGAGTGGCAGTATCTGAGCCATTCACAGAAGACCCTATATAGAGATATGAGGCTTGAAACCTGTAGCAACTTTGTCTTTGTGGGTAAGATGGCTTCTCAGATAATTTTACTCTTGATGATTATTGTATTTATTGGTGGCCCTTCTTTCTCAGTTTCCCATTTTTCTTGCCTGAAAAGAAACTCAAAACCCTGGCTAAATGGACAGATTTCACCATTGTGTCAAGGTTCGGGTCCTCTGTGCTGCCTACTCCCAAATTGTAACTTCTGACCTAGGAGTTCTGAAAACCAAGGAGGTATCTGTCATTTCTCATTACCAGAGCAGCAGCTTACAAAACCAGATCACATCCTCAAGCTGGAGGTGGAAGAACTAAGCCCAGCAGATGGGAAAATTTGGAACTTTCCAGGTATGTAGGATTGACATATGCTTTGAGTACATGAGGTCCCAGCCTATCAGTTAGGGGTGAGGGCTTCTTAAAAGCCTAAGAAGAATGTCTTGAAGAGCCTGGCACTAGTGACTTATACCTATTATCCTAGCTATTTGTAAGGCATAGATAGGAAGGATTGTGGTTTGAGTCTGGACATAATCACAAGACCCCATCTCAGTAGTTGGACACAGTGGCAGATGTCTGTCATCCTAGATACGTGGGAAGTATATAAATAGGTAGGCAAGGGTCCAGGCCCACATGAGCCCCTATTCAAAAAATAATGAAGGCAAAGGGATGAAGAGTGTGGCTGAAGTGCAAGTGCACAGTTCTGACTTCAATCTTCAGTACAACCAGAAGGGGAAGAAAAGGCTAACTACTCAAGTGGCTGAGATATGAGGATTATGATTCAAAGCAAGCCCAAAGAAAGAAAGTCCATGAGACTTTTATCTCCAATTTATGACCAGAAAGCCAGAAGTAGAACTGTGACCCAAGTGGTAGAGTGCTAGCTTTGAACAATAAGGCTCAGGGACAGTGCCCAGGTCCTAAGTTCAAACCCCAGGACTAGCACATAAAAAAGCAAGGAGTAGGAAGAGCAGAAAGAACAAGAGGAGAATAAAGAGGAGAGGGGAGGCAGGGATCGATGAAGGGAGAAAAGAAAGAAAGGAATGAAAGAAAAAGAAAGAAAATTGCTTTAAGGGAAAGGTTGCAGCCCTTTGAAGCCATTGGAAGACAGTGATGTGAACACCTCAGAATAAGACTGAAACTTACTCCATCCACCCACCTCCACACCAGATCACACTACTTAAATTAGCATTCACTTGCAAGTTTCTATACAGTTCCTTTGTATTCAGTATGTGTCTTTTTGTTTTGTTTTGTTTTGGTTTGTTTTGGTTTGGTTGGTTGTGGGGCCTAAAGTCAGGGCCTGGTCCCTAAGCTTTTTGCTCAAGGCTAGCACTCTACCACTTTAAGCTACAGCTCCATTTCAGTTTTCTGTTGACTGATTTAAGATAAAAGTCTCATGGGCTTTCCTGCCTCTAACTGGCTTCAAACCAAGATCCTCAGATCTCAGACTCCTGAGTAGCTAGGATCACAGGTAGGAGCACAAGCTCCTAGCCTGTATGTGTCTTTTGAATGCTAGTATTCCCTGACTGTACCTCTTTTATGATTCTCATCTGAAGACAGCCAGGCTCACATTAATAATAGGCCTGGAGTCCAACGCTGTAATTACAGGCTAGTTCTCTGAAACATTCTTCACATTCAACCGTAGATATTCTGGCCCAATTTGCTTTCCTGAAACGTGGTCATTTTCTTTTCAGCTATTTCCTTATCTCCATGAGTATCTATATAAAAATACCTTATTGAGATATAATTCACTAATAAAAATTCAGATTTTTAGTTCAGGAATCTTGAGTACATTCTGAGTTTTGTGTCTTCATCACTGATAACTGTAGAATATTTTATTGTCCTTTTTGAAACCTCTCCCTTTGGTAGTCATTTTCAATTCTTGGTTCCACCATTCCCTGATGAGCACTAATATACTTCTTGTCTCTGTGCTATACTTTTTTATTTATTGTGGGCATTTCATATAAAACATGGCCTTTTCTAGCTGGCTTCTATCACTTCTCATATTTGCAAAATTCATCCATGTTGTGGCACGGAACAGCAATTTACTCCTTTTATGGAGGAAAAATATACTGTTGTACAAATAGAACACATTTTGCTTATCAATTCATCTGTTGATAGATATTTAGTTATTTTCATCTTTTTGGCTATTGTGAATAATGCTGCTATGTTAGGTTTTGATGATGATGTGTTTCTCATTTCTTTCTTTTTTTGTCAGTCATTGGGCTTGAACTCAGGGTTTGGGTGCTGTCTCTGAGCTTTTTTGCGCTAGGCTAGTACTCTACTACTTCAAGCTACAGATCCACTCCTGGTTTTCAGGTAATTAATTGCATAGAAGTCTCATGGACATTCGTGCCCAGGCTGTCTTCAAACTATAATCATCATATCTCAGCCTCCTAAGTAGCTAGAATTACAGGAGTGAGACACGTATGCCAAGCCTGTTCTCTTTTATTTTGGGTAGACATATAATGTTGGAACTGTGCCATATGGTAATTGTATTTAATATATTGAGGAATTGCCAAATTGTATGAATACCTTGTTTGCAAAAATGATAACCCAAGCCAGGCACTGGTGGCTTACACTTGTAATCCTAGCCACTTAAGAAACTGAGATCTGGGGCTGGGAAGGTGGCTCAGTGGTAGAGTGCTTGCCTTGCATGCATGAGGCCCTGGTTTGGTTCCTCAGCACCACATAAGCAAAAATAGCTAGAAGTGGCACTGTGGCTCAGGTGGAAGAGTGCTAACCTTGAGCTGAAGAGCTGAGGGACAGTGCACAGGCCCAGAGTTCAGTTCAGGCTGCACAACCGATGGGGGGAAAAAGGAGCTGAGATCTGAGGATCGTGGTTCAAAGCCAACCCAGGGAGGAATGTCCATGAGACTGTCATCTCTTCATAAAATTAGTTCATAAAAATCTGAAAGTGTAGCTCTGGCTCAAGTGGTACCATTGATTATAAGATATAGCACCATAAAAGAAATATTGCCACAAATATAACTATAACATATCATCAATTGTAAGGTACAATTGGATTCAGAGATTTTTCAATGTGAAATTAAAGGCAAGGACTTGCAATTTTGGCTGTCTAAATGAGTAACGTAGATGATCAAATATAATAGAAGTTAAAATTTTTATATAGGAAAGTCAGAAAAACTTTTTTTAAATGATTGAACAGGGGTTGAGAATTTGGTTCAGTGGAAGAGCACTTGCCTGGCAAGTACAAGCCCCTAGTTCAGTCCTATGCTGTGCAAAAAAAAAGAAGAAGAAATAAAAAAAAGAAAAGAAAACAATGGAATGGCCTCTTGAACATTAATCTAGATCCTGAATATATTACAATATGGAGATCAGGGCTATGACTATTGGGTAATTTTATATGAAAAGGGATTTGGAGTTTTAGGCATAGTTTTTACAGGAAATACAGGGGCAGAGATTATGGTATTGAAGATCTGTGAGTGAAAGTTTATGTGGAGACACTGTGAACCCAGAATACATAAAGATTTTTAGAGGGTTTTTTTTTTTTGGGTCCGGTTGTGGCACCTGAACTCTGGGCCTGGGTGCTGTCCCTCAGCTCTTCAGCTCAAGGCTAGTGCTCTACCACTTGAGCCACAGCACCACTTCCGGCTTTTTTCTTTTTGCTTATGTGGTGCTGAGGAATCGAACCCAGGGCCTCGAGCATGCAAAGCAAGCGCTCTACCACTGAGCCACCTTCCCAGGCCCTAGAGGGTTTTTTGAAAGCTAATTTTTTTTCTATAATTGATGGAGAATATAGATTAAGGGATATTGTAAGATGAGTTCAGTGGTACACTGTCGCATTTCCTGTTAAGTGGAGGGAGTATAAATCATATATAGTTTAAAATTCATGTGATAACTGAGATTTGAGTTTGGTGAGGTTCCCAGAGATAAGATAAACATAGAAATAAGAAACCTATAGCTAGATGCCTGAGGCCTATATCTAGATATTTAGGAAGCTGAGAGCTGAGGTTCACACTTTGATGCCAACTTGGGCATAAACTTCAATGAGACTCTTATCTCCAATTAACCACCGAAAAGTTGAAAGTGGGGTTGTGGCTCAAAGTGGTAGAGCACTAGCCTTGAGCACAAAAAGCTCAAGGACAGTGCTGAAGTCTCTGAGTTCAAGCCCCAGAACCATCACACACAAAAATAAAGAAACTGGGATGTCAGTGTAAGATTAAACACACATGCCAGTAAATAGCATTTATTAAGAAATTCTTTTTCTAGGGAAACAGGGGAAAACATACAACAGTGGGACCCATCTGCTGCACTGATCAAAATGAACTAAGCAACTCAATGGCAGCAGTGGGAGGGAGGGAATTAGTGGGAAAGAGGGAACAGTTGACACTAAGCAAAAGGAAAGGAATGTACATATCACCCAATGTGAAAGAAATAGTGATATTGTCAAAGCTCATAGAACTCATAAACTTTATAGACCACAATAGACAATTTGCCCCATGGAGATTAGAATGTGTTTGTGACTTTAACTAAGTATCACTATCCCACAATACTGTGAAATTTGTGAAGTTATATAATCACTTAATCACAATAAATAATTTGAAAAAAAAAAAGAAATTCTTTCTCCAGGGACTTGATAAAATAATAGTGTCTCTTTTTTTATTTGTTAGGACATTTCTGGTGGTTAATTGGAGATAAGAGTCTCATGGGAAGTTTCCTGCCTGGGCTTGCTTATACTGTGATCCTCAGATCTCAGTCTCCTGTGTAACTAGGATTACAGGTGTGAGCCACCAGCGCCCAGCTTGTTAGGACATTTCTAAAGAATATTTATTCTCTAATGTCAAAGTATATAGATGGCTTATTGTACTTCTTTCTAGAAGCCTATAGCCTATGATGAACAGACTAAGAAGCAGTATCAGGTTGACAAAAATAATTGCCAGTCAATCCAAGTTGGATTCCCTGATGAGGGAATAATTATAATGCAAAGTGATGAATTTGGAAACAGACCTCATCTGAGCCCAAGCCTTACTTTTCCAATACAAAGACCTCATGAACTTGAATCATTTGGAAATAATATGGTAGATAATTTAGACTTATTAAGTACCAGCTCTGCAGAAACAAAACATAATAGATGTGAGATTTTAGTCTTTCCTCCTAAGGATGAAAAAACAAATTTTGTGCTGAAACCATATTTATATAAAGAATGCGAGAAAGGCTTTAAGTGTAAGAAAGGTCTTAGCCTTCATCAGAGAATTAAAAATGGAGAGAAGCCCTTTGAATGTACTGCATGTCAGAAAACCTTCAGCAAGAAGTCTCACCTCACTGTACATTGGAGAACTCATACGGGAGAAAAACCCTTTGGGTGTACTGAATGTGGAAAAGCCTTTATCCAAAAATCTCGACTCATTATACACCTCAGAACTCACACAGGAGAGAGACCTTTTGAATGTCCTGAATGTGGCAAAGCCTTTCGAGAGAAGTCAACTGTCATTATTCATTACAGGACTCATACTGGAGAAAAGCCTTTTGAATGTAGTGAATGTGGAAAAGCCTTCACTCAAAAATCAAACCTCATTGCCCATCAGAAGACGCACACAGGGGAGAAAATGTATGAGTGCACTAAATGTGGGGAATCTTTCATGCAGAAACTTGATCTAATTATACACCATAGTACTCACATGGGTAAGAAGCCCCATGAATGTAGTGACTGCAAGAAAACTTTCAGTGACAAGTCAACCCTCATTATACATCAGAGAACTCACACTGGAGAGAAGCCTCACAAATGTATTGAGTGTGGGAAATCGTTCAATGAGAAATCAACTCTCGTTGTGCACCAGAAGACTCATACTGGAGAGAAACTCTATGAATGTGATGTGTGTGGAAAAACCTTTACTCAGAAGTCAAAGAACTCATTCAGGGGAAAAACCTTTTGAATGTAATGAATGTGAGAAAGCCTTCGCTCAGAAATCCTATCTTATGCTGCATCAAAGAGGACACACAGGTGAGAAGCCGTATGAGTGTAGTGAATATGAAAAGGCCTTTACCCAGAAGTTCTATCTCATCATACATCAGAGAACACATACTGATGAAAAACCCTATAAATGTAATGAGTGTGACAAAGCCTTTCGGGAAAAGTCAAAGCTCATTATCCATCAGAGAATTTACACTAGAGAGAAACCCTATGAATGTCCTATGTGCTGGAAAGCTTTCTGTCAGAAGTCACAGCTCATAATTCATTGGAGAACACACACAAGAGAGAAGCCCTATGCATGCCCAGAGTATAGCAAAGCCTTCAGGGAAAAATCTACATTCACTGTACATCGAAGAACTCACACTGGAGAGAAGCCATACAAATGTACAATATGTGGGAAAGCTTTTACCCAAAAATCCAACCTAATAGTACATCAGAAGACCCATACAAGAACGAAGGCCCACTTGAGGGTTCACAACCGCAAGGCATTAGGGAGGAAAAGAAATGTGTTAGTTATGTCAGTTTAATATATTAAAAGTACATTCTAGGACCTGGGAATGTGGCTTAGTGGTAGAGTGCTTGCCTAGCATGCATGAAGCCCTGGGTTCTATTCCTCAGTACCACATAAACAGAAAAGCTCAGAAGTGGCACTGTGGCAAAATGGTAGAGTGATAGCCTTGAGCACAGAGAGGCTCAGGTATAGTGCCCAGGCAATGAGTTCAAGCCCCAGAACTGGCCAAAAAAAGTACATTCTAGCTAGGCACCAGTGTATCATGCCTGAAGTCTTAGCTACTCAAGAGGCTAAGATCTGAGGATTCTGAAGCCAGCTCTATCAGGAAAGTCTGAGACTCTTATGTCCGCTAACCTACAAAACAAGCCAGAAATGGAGTTGTAGCTCAGGTGGTAGAGTGCCAGCCTCGAGCACAAAAGCTCAATGAAAGTTCCCAAGAGCAGAGTGCAAGCCACAGGACCAGCAAAAAAAAAAGTACATTCTGATTGTGCTTTAAACATGAGGAAGAAAGTTGACCTTTTTTCTTTTTTATCTCTGTATTTTGCATCTCTGCATCTGATCTAATTAGGAGATAGCTGCATCTAGAGGACTGCCAGAGGCGTAGACAATCAAGAGCCTGTGGAGATTTCAGAGCATGTTTAAGGCCACAGATATGAGGCGGCAAAGGCTAGGATGCTCCACTGAAGGTGAAGATACACTTCAGTGCAGGACCACAGACAGCTTTGACAACAGTAATAAAGTTCTTGGACAGGTAGGAGGTTTTCCAGACCATGTGAGATCTGAGGAGTAATAGGCAAGCGATATAACAAGGAATAACTCAAACAAACCTTATGTATGGAAAGTAGTTTTTACAGGTAGGAGAAATAATTGGAGGAACTAAGGGAAAGGAAGAAGTAGAACTTTTCCTGTCTCCTGACTTAGGAGCAGTAAAATCTGAAACAACTAACAAATACTTTTTGAGAGTTTCTTGCTTGTTAAAAAACACTCTGATCTGCCTAGTATGTGGCTCTCGTGTGTTCTGCCATGTGAACCTCCAGCAAATAGCAAGTTCAGGAAGAGCTCTTAACATTCAGAGAGAACCATTTAAAAGTAATTCAGAGGCTGGGAAGGTGGCTCAGCAGTACAGTGCTTGCCTTGCATGCATGAGGCCCTGGGTTTGATTCCTCAGCACCACATAAGCAAAAAGAAAAAAGCCAGAAGGGGCGCTGTGGCTCAAGTGGTAGAGTGCTAGCCTTGAGCTGAAGAGCTGAGGGACAGCGCCCAGGCCCAGAGTTCAGGCCCCACAACCGGACCCAAAAAAAAAAAAAGTAGTTCAAACCACGAATGGAATTTAAGCCAATTCCACTTCTAGAAAGGTATATATTAATTTGTTTGCAAAAAAAAATAATGAGTACACAAGTATACTTGATGTACTATTTTGTTTGTGCAAAGAGGGTTAGACAGTGTATAAATGACATGACCATGACTCTGCTTCCCAAAATTGGATATATTCATACAGCCAACTCCCAGGTAGAAAAAAAAGTAATAAAGAGCTTGTTGATATTATTTCCACAGTGATATGATAATCTGTTTGGTAGGAAAAAGCAAGCTTCAGCATGGTGACTAAACATACTGCCACATGTAGTAAAAACAAAAACAGGAGACAATAGTAAGTACATCATTGATTGTATGTACATTTGTTGATTTCTGGAAAGAGGCATAAGAAGCTGGTAGCCCAAAGTGGCAGTGGGCAGCTGCAAGGATGCACCTGGAATTAAGACCCCTGTGTGTCTTTTCATAGCTTTTGAAAATTATACTCTATGGCTGTGCTACCTTTTTAGAAACAAAAATTTTTCAAGCATATTTTATGATCATTACATTGAATATTGTTCAATATAATAAGCAGTATATTGTTATATTACTTGTTATATTGTCCTATATTTTGTAATACTTAATTTAGACCTGCTCAGTGTGTTTAATTTTTTAGTGAATACATTGAAAAACAGGTGGACAAAACAGCAGAGATTTAGTCATATTATAAGCACATAGGCAGTATTTTCTGAGAGTGTCTAAATAAAGTGATTCTCATGTCAGCTGGGACCACATTCCCTGAACTTAAATACCAGAGACTGGAATATTTTTTTCTTATTTAGGATGTGCAGTGATAGCCATGCAAAGACACTGTATTAAAGCCCACAATGTCTTACTGAATCTTAAAATGATCTGCTGTATACACATGCACATATACATACGTGTCTAAGCATTTTTACAAGAGATATAAAACATGAATCATCAGGGAAACTGAGGTACATCTCTCTCCTAAGCTCACAATACCTGATAGCACATATTTTCCAAGATGAAAAACAATATTGATTCCCATGGTCTGTTTGACCTCAACCAACAACCTCATAACAGGACTCTTGCAGCAGAACAAGAAGTCTTGGTTGTAAATTAATAGTAATAGTAGTCTTTGTAGTAGCATGGTTATGCAATGGGTACAGTGGAAGTGGACAAGGCAAGCTGTGCAAAACTTGGGGAATGGGCAGCGTTTTCATTTATCAAAACACATGGGTTATATCTGTGACCCTGTCTGTGCCCCCACCCATGATTTTTTTTTTTTGGGTCCGGTCGTGGGGCTTGAACTCTGGGCCTGGGTGCTGTCCCTCAGCTCTTCAGCTCAAGGCTAGCGCTCTACGACTTAAGCCACAGCGCCACTTCTGGCTTTTTTCTTTTTTCTTATGTGATCCTGAGGAATCCAACCCAGGGCCTTAGGCATGCAAGGCAAGCGCTCTACCACTGAGCCACCTTCCCAGCCCCCATCTTTCTTTTTATCCCCGAGTTATCTTGAACCATATGTGACACTATCCCCACAGATACTGAGACTTGAACTTAGGGCTGGGCCCTGAACCTTAGTTTTTTGCTCAAGGCTAGCACTCACAGACTTTCTTTCCTCCACTGACTTCCTGATATTATCCTATCTCGGCCTCTTGAATAGGCTGACAGCGGTGAGCCACTGGTGCCCAGTCACCCCACTCTATAATGAACTCTGAAAGTAAGACATTTCTCAGTGCCTTTCCAGGAAGAGGAAAGTGGGAGTAGACTGACTTGTTCTTGGTATATTCTAGGAAATATGCCCAAAGCAAATGAACACAGTTATTTTATCTGCCTATAGATAGAGTATTCCTGAGTTATCCGGACCATTAAAAGACATAGTTCAGTGGGGGGTGGAGGCTAGATTGCACTCATGTATTTGGATTCCTGCTTTCTGGGACACAGACTGCAAGCTGCTTGCTGGGCCATACATTGGCAAATGTGTGTGAAGCACACACCTAGAGGGGAAGGGATAAGGATGAACTACAGGATGCAGTCTTCTTTTCTTTTCACAAAAGGGATGCCTATAACCCTCTGCTAGTCACTGGAGAAGCAAAACTCTCAAGAAATTCCTTTTATCAGTGATACAGCTTTTAGCTCCTTCTTCAGCTTACAACACACACTGGTCTGGTGCTGCTGCTTTATCTCCTAGGGAGTCTACAAGGGGCCTCTAATGGGGTGTGAGGACTCAGCTGGCCTAAGGGCTATCTAAATGAACTTGAGAAGCACATAGATTTCTCCTAGAGATGCCTTATTAACTGACACAACCCACCACAGGTAGGCAACCCTCCCTTTGGACCCCCTCCCTCCCTTTTAGCAGGGGCTCTGCTTACCTTTTTTTCCAGTAACTCTTGCCAACTTGTTTATAACTCCTTATCACTGGACTCATTCTTGAACATTCTTGATGAGAACCTGATCCAGGATAGTTGTTTTCTTGCTTGCTTTTTTATTTCATGCCTGTCCTGGGGCTTGAACTCAAGACCTGAGTGCTGTCTCTGAGCTTTGTCACTCAAGGCTATTGCTCTACCACTTGAGCTACAGCTCCACCCCCAGTTTTGGTTTTTCAGTCTCAAAAGCAATTAAAGTGAAAGCTGGTAGCTTATGCCTGTAATCTTAGCTACTAAGGAGGCCGAGATCAGTGGATCATGGTTCAAAGCTAGACCAGGCAGTAAAATCTGTGAGACTCTCATCTACAATTAACCACCAGACAAACCAGACATGGAGCTGTGGCTCAAAGTGGTAGAGTGCTAGCCCTGAGTAAAGAGTTCATGGACAGCACCCAGACCCCCGAGTTCAAGCCCCATGACTGAAAAAAAAGGAAGCTAAACTGTCTTCATGCATTAGGGACTTTCCTTTAACCTGGTCTACTTGTTTTTTTCTTGTTCTGGTACTGGAGCTTGAACTAGGTCCCTTTCCCATAGCTTTATTGCTCAAGGCTACCACTTGAACCATACCTCCATGTCTTTTTTGGCTGGTTAATTGGAGATAAAAATTCTCATTTTTTTGACTGCCCTGGCTGGCTTTGAACCTCAATTCCCAGATCTCAGCCTCCTCAATTGCTAGGTTTACAGGCACGAACCACCAGCAACTAGCTTTCTACTTGTTTCTAACTGGAATCTCTCCTTGCAAAAGACTTGAGTCAAATGTTTTCTTTGGATTTGAATTCGCTGAAAGGTGAATCTGAAGCATTCACACCTGCTTCTGAAGGAGGTAAAGACCACCCTGACTGTGTCTCCCTTCCTTCTTTATGCTGGAGTCTCTCCTTCCCCTACCCTATCCAGCTCCTACAGCTTCTTCCCTGTACCTACACCCTGCAGCCTACAAAGGTGGAGCCATTAAAACAACTTGGAGAACACCAATTCTGCTTGTCCCTGTCTCTTCTAGTACTTGCCTACCCTTGCACTAGGTGGGCATAGAGCTCAAACTTAGGTCCTTCCCTCCTTCTGCTGGACCTACCTGCTCCTCTGGAGGTTCTTGTTGAGGTTCTGAGATTTAGCATCCTTCCAGCGGCTATCTTGCTGTCAAACCTGAGAGACTGGGTCACAGTCCAGAAGGAGACCCCCAAGGTCTGCATGTGGTGCCCTATCATCTGCCCCCTTCTTCCACCCATTGTAAACCACTTGGCAAGATAGCATAGTGCAGTCCTAGGAAGAAGGCCAGCTGTGT